CACGGAGTTGTCCTACCCATAAGGCGTCGACTTGCGTCCGACTGTGCATGATAGTAATGTTTCCCTACTTCCAAGTGGGTGGACCCGTTCAGGACAAACGGTGGAGCTTCTCGTGAACTGGCTCTCAATAGTGAGCGGTGGTAGCAGTACTGAGTATGCAAAGCAGTGGGTACTGTACTTCGTACTTCAATGTGCACAACAAAGGCTTCAGATGAGCAGATTGATCAATGGACTGCGGATAGGACATGGATGCCATTAGCTTGAAAGTAGTCTCCACTGATCCACGAGGTGGCATTGGGCGCCCGCAACGCCGCGCCAGTCGGGGCATATAACTATCCGTTTTTGCAGCTAGCAGAGCCTTGGACGCCTCCGCACTATCAGCGAGACTGGATGAACATATTATCAGTGATTAAAAGTCGACGACGCCTGATCGATGTGCGTTCAATGTTAATGTTAATGTGGGTTAGGTTGGAACAATGTCAATATCGTATGGGAGAGGGTGTGGGGCATCATCTTATGGGGCTTAGACTCGAACTTCAGAGTTTCCCGCGGCAATGGAACTTCTGTCCTCAACCCGCCGAGTAGTAACCGGGGAGAGATTCCAGCATGCCCATTGGGCAAAAGAAATCAATGCCTGTCACCGATGGCATTGGCGGGCGCCGGTAAGAGAGTGGCCCTAAAACCAAAATGCCAATGCTGGCATTTTCTTGTTCTTCTGCGACTGCGAGTTAGTCTTGGCTATCCCTTGGATCCCGATTGTTATGTACCTGATCTGCATCGACGGAGTACGAAGTCCGAAGTACACAACGTGGATTGTGCAACTGCCATGTACAAAGTACTTCGTTGATATCCTGGAATAATTGAAGTGGGAGATGGCCCAAAAGAGAAAAAAAAAAAAAAAAAAAAAAAAAAAAAAAACCATTAATCCCTCTCGACCGTGCTTCCATTTGATGCTTCTAAGAAGTACTTCGTATGCTTGCATGCCTGCAGGCGGAAACGGTCTTTCCCCAGAGTGGCCACAGTCGCCCGGCCGCCCGCTCGGCCAGTTTCTCTCGCCAACCAATGCCAGTTCGTTAAACAAGCCATCTCATCTCTGCGCCACCGCCAACTTGGATGAAACAGCGGAGGCACAGCAAGGCACGCGAATAACTCGTGTCTAGGGGACGCATCCATCACTGCATACGATGTTTCATGCTTAGCCTTCCGCTTTCCTCACTGGGCAAAAATCTGCCTTATCACTGCCGAAAACAAAAACGAACGAGGACGAGGGTCGATGCCGATGGCGATGACAATGGCGTGTCCTGCTAAATTTGGCAACAGATCAAGGTGCGATCGATGTCGGGCATCGAGCCATCAGACTACGGCCGTGAATGTAATTTTACCGGGGAAGTCTAATGCCGGGCTAGTCTGCAAAGTTGAAGACCTCCATGAGTCTGCGAGTGTGAACGGCTCCAGAGGCTTGAATCAACCACGGACGAATTCTGGGCAGAGACAACCGAACGGCTGGCAAGATGTGATGTGGACCTTGCAGATGGATGGGGCCAAATTGGTAATTGACATCCTCATTTATGGATGGATCTTCCTTCATCCGGACAGATAATAGTACCTGTACAACAGTCTAAGGGTCGAGGAAACGACCCGGTGGTGAACCTGTACCACATAGCCCTGCCCGCCTGCGACCGCCGGTTTGGCCTACACCCGCGCGTCTTTTGGGTCTTCATTGTCACAGCCGCGGCCAGTCTGGGGGTCAGACAAAAGGGGGGGCTGAATGAGAAACCAGGGACGAGGGATGGGGGAAAAACAACAAAGGAGAGACCAAGGCCAAAAAGAAATCAAATCCCCATCGCAGCCTCTCCTGCAGAGAAAAACTCGTATTGGACTCGAGTACCTCTGCATACTTGTAGATGGGCCTTCCAGGTGGCCAAGAAAGGCTAATCCTGTCTCCCCGGAAGCGCTTGCTGCACGGCTGTTGATTGTCTCTGTCGTCTTCATTTTTCTCCGCCTGAATCGATCGTTGATCTAGTGCGTCACTTGGCCTAGCCAGACCCAGTGGCTAGGTCCCATTTGGAAAAGATTGACTGGTCCGAGATTCTACGAAGTATTCTCCCCATATTCCCAAATGGACCAAACGGACAACCCCGGCTTCCTAGTTGAAATCGGCGCGGAAGAGGCCGGGCATAAGGCGGTTTGACTTTGACATCAAATTTCGCGTCTGGAGGTGAACAAATTTCAGCTTCTAGAAATGTCGAATGATTAAATGGATCGAGCTTTGCTCTCCACACTGGGTCACTAATGTCAAAAGAGAAGAAGAGAAAAATACAGCGACAACCGCCACCGGATTCATCCTGGTCCTCCCCTGCCGCTGGTTTTCTATGATTGTGCTCTGTCACTATTCTCCTTTATGCTCTGATGAGAAGGGGTAGGGAACTTTCTCGATGGGAATCCCTGCACAATCCTTGACTCCTGTTCTTGTGTTTAAAATGTGCCAACAAGCCATGACAAGCCTTGCTGGCTGTAGTGTTACTCCAATATCTCATGCACTTCGGCTGGGAACACAAATAATCTCTCGAGGCGGGTTCCTGGGCTACTGAACATGAGGCACATGTATATGATGTGGAGGAACGGCGTGCAGCGGCATTGGACCAGATTCGGCCATTTCTAAGCACCAACAGACATCCCGCCCGTTTCAAGCCCTTCCCTCCCCGTTCGAGAATTTGTGGACGGCTTGGGCTCATCAGACTCAACCCGTGCGTCTGGGTAGACTCGGTGATGACGGATGAAACGGTACTAATAGTACGTACACTCCACTTCATATTTGCAGCCTGCAGTGATCTGAAATTATTTTCTCAGTCGTCCGCTTGTCCTTTCGACATCTGTCAATGTAATGTCCGGAAATGGGCGAGACCGAGAGAGAGTGCGTGACGTGATATTGCCGTCTCCCCATCAATGATATTGAAAATGAACATTGATGCGCCAGAAAACGGGACAAGATGGAGAGTATCGCGCTTTTCAGGACACCGCCCACATGTCGTCGCAGCCGCAGCCGCAGTCGCAGTTGCGGAGTGAGAGTGCCTGTCCATTAAAAGGCTAACGGCCGATAGGGATATTTTTGATCCCTCGCTTGTAGATCACCGGCAAGGACGCTTTTAGACATTGAATCCGATGGCATTGAATCCAAATCCGGTATGGAGCTTGGCCGAGGGGACTAGTAAAGAAGACGCCTCATTGCAGAAACGAAGAGTCGAAGCTCCTGCATTTGAAATTTTCCCCTCCCCTCTTGCATTTGACCCTGGGTGCTATTATTTCTTGGCTAGTATTGAATCAAGCCCGGCTCGGGCCCGGCCTGTGCAATCCAACACCCGTCCCCAAACAGTACGTAGTTCATTGACCGATGCTCGAGGAGCTTGAGCTCTACACTACTGACTACCGCTCTGCGGAGGTGACTAAGTACATGTAGTCTTGTATGTAGAATGAAGTACGTTGGGTCGGATACTTCGATAGCATTCCGATTTTATAACTTAGGGCCAGATAGTATTGATTCTCGAGATGAGAACTGAAGATTTCCCCAACACTGCTCTGATTTGGGTGGCATCAGATTGATCAATGGATCAGTGGGATCGAGGCGAGGCGATTCCAGTCCTGTGCTGCAGTGTTACACGCCCCAAGTCCTCTTGCCTTCTCTTCTTCACCCCACCCCCCTCCCCCCACCCCTTCCTTCTCTTGGGCGGGAAACTGTGAGCTGTGCTCTCTCACTTCCGTACACGCCCCCCCGCGCCTCCTTCCTCGTTTACCTTGCGGGGCCATTCCCCCACCCCCCAAGTCCTCGACACTGTACACCCTCCCCTGGAGCCACGCCAAAAATTGACTTGACCCTTCGAAGTAACACTTCTTCTCGTGTACTTCGTACTTTCTCACGTACCTTGCCCAGACCCTCTCGTCCTTTCCTCTTGCCTGGCTGTCAGCTATTACTACTTCCTCTCCGAGTATATCGTAGCACCACACGACGACGACACGAGTCCTCTTTCACTCCCCCAGGTCCAACGCTTGTACTCCGTACCCTAAGTACCCTGGTACCTGCAACCATCATCAAGGGCTTGGCAGGTTGGGGCCGGGCTTGTAAGTCGATGTAACTGGGTTCCCCTCCTCGCCTCTCCTGCTCTCGAAGTTGTGGTCTTCTCGCTCTCGCACAGCACCACCGCGTGTCGTGAGTGTATGGGCATGTACATGGGTGCCATATCCGTAGGCTACTAGTTTGACTCCAAATCTTGACCCCCTTCGAGTAACTCCCAAAGCTAAGTACATGGTGTTGTACATCATGTTCGTCCTCTCATATCAATCGATCTGTGCCTACCCTGTCTGCCATGCGGTCCAAGGTCCAAGGCCCTCGCCCTAGAAGGATTCTCGGTACCTCCACCCCCAAGCTGTACCGCCCCTTGCCAATTATAAGATGCCGACATCCTCCAGGAACTCCAAACTACACGAAGTCTGTCCTTCGAGGCTGAGATCTTGAGAGTGAGCTTGCTTGATTCCTACAAAAGGCTCGCGCGTGAAGCTCAACTGGGATTTCCCGCCTTATCTGCTGTTTCGTCTCCCGCTCTTATACAGAACCACCCCCGGATCATCATACAAGTAGTCCCTTTTTTGCAAACTATCAAATCTGCTCAAACCAGATTCTATAAGTCTGGACCCATCGCCCACCTTCATCGTCATCGTCGACTGCCCCCTCCCTTCACTACTCGACACACTTACACATCGCCCAACACTATTCCAACTCTTCACACATATCCAACTCCAGCTCACTCACCAAGAACCAGTGCTTGACGGCGTCCTCTCTGAATACCCTCTATGCGCTTCCATTCGCCGCCTCATTAGTCCACACGTGCAGAATAACGTGAAAGGAAGCGGGGGAAAGCAAGAAGGAATACCATCCTGGTCGTCGGTGGACCATCACTCATAGTTGAGGTACCCACCAGCATTTGTATCAACTGACGTCTGTCGATATGCCATCTCCTGCACCAACCATCCTGGACTCTGGATTTTTCGATCACGGTTGCGACGACTCTGGTTCACGCCAGGTTAGATCCAGGGCTGGAACCGTTGTGAGCAACTGCAGCGAGAGTTACTTTCAACAACAATACTTCGACTCCCCTGCTAGTCAACCGCTTTCGAGCCCTTGCCTGACCTCGCAGTCAACTTCTTCGGCTTCTTCTTCGACGTCTTCCGCCCCCTACCTCAGCCCTATCCCCTCCAACTACCTCTCCACCTCTCTCCCCAACAACTACTCTCCTTTTCCTGGCTTGTCACCCGAGATCCTTAGTAGCGAGTGGACCGAACAGGACCCGACGGCTGTAGACCCTACGATAACAGACCCCACAACTACTGCGGGGTTGATGAGGTACGTCTTTCAGCCCTCCCATCATGAAATCCCTCTGCGCACTGCCGAATGCCTTTCTCGTCGTCTCGGTGACGCGGATTTTCGCGCTAACCTTACCCTGCAGAACTGCCACTTTCCCGCTTGATTCCACATTCGCGATGGGCAAGCAAAACTCTTACCCTTGGCCAGCCGTGATGTCAACGAGCCCAAACAGTACCCCAGCAAACTTCCTCCCACACGACCTTGCTCTGGGTTCCAGCGCCGAAGCAGAGTTTGCTGCGACTGTCCGATCGAGATCTCGGACAGGAAGCCCGCAGGGCCATTCTACATTGACCCCTGAACAGCGAGAACTAAAGAGACAAATGGACCAAGTGCGGAGGGACAACAAATCCGCTTCCCGGTTCAGGAGGTCGAACAGCAACCCCTACGTTCCAGATTCTTCCTCTGCCCTTAACATGCCCATCTACACCTCCTCCATGGCACCCATCTCGCTGCTGGCCGAACCCGCCAACACCGTTCCCAGCCAAAGCTACCTATCCCCCTACTCTCAGCAACTTCCAGAGCAAGACCCGGGCGGTTTGTCAAACGTGCCGATGTACGCGTCGTCTCTACCCCATCAGCCACTGTAAGTTCTAAAACGGATCGGGTAAACAATTTACGTGTGCTGACCCTGGTTCAAAGACAACCCGCTTACACCATGCCAATGGCGTACCCCGCAACACTACAAGCGCCAGACTCGAACTATAGGTAGGACGGTCGCCCTTTCGATGAAGACTACGAAGCTTGACTCCTAACGTTTGTTTTTAATCTTATAAACAGCCATCCACGTTCGAATTCGTACTCGACAGGAAGCGAGTCCAACCTCATGTACTCTATGGCACCGAGCATGCCGCCAAATAGCCTTCCTGTGACGGGACACGAAGCGGGCCAGGTCAGAGTGGTACAGACCAGACCGAAACCGCAGTGCTGGGAGCATGGCTGCAACGGGCGACAGTTTTCGACGTTTAGCAACCTTTTGCGACACCAGCGCGAGAAATCGGGTCAAGCAGCTAAGGCGACCTGCCCCAACTGTGGGGCCGAGTTTACGAGAACGACGGCGCGGAACGGACATCTCCTCCAAGGCAAATGCAAGAAGAGGAACGCGTCAGACGATGCCGGCCAACCGATGACTAGGTCACCATCTGCCTCCTCTCTCGCGGATGACATGCGGCAATTACAAAACCCAGCACTGACGAATTAAACCGCGTTCGACGGTGCTTTCTGCCTCTGACTTCTTCGGCTTTTATTAACCTACTCTTTGCGCCGACTTCCTCGACTCTCTCTTCTCGATCATTTTCTTTTTCCTCTAATCTATTTGGATTATTCCTGATGACTAGTTTCTTGGTTTCTGGTTTCTGGTTTCTGGTTTCTACACTGGCGTTCATGGGAGGGGCCGAAAGCCTCGGTGGTTTACAGCGCAACACATCGGATGATCCTATTGGGTAGGATAAGGGGGGTTCTAAGTTTGGGTGGCTCTATATGGTCTTGATGATATACATACACCGGTGGTGTCCTGGGAGTTAATTTCTTTGCTTTAATATTTGTCTCCCTATCTTTAGCAGCGCCGTACGCCTCTGCACAGCTCTGCGCAGCTCTGCAGTTTGGGGTCCGGATTGTGACCACCTTGGCGGGGGATGGTGGGCAACCAAGCCCACGGGACGGTAAAAATATATCCGGGAGGACTGGGGTCGAGGGATTTTGGATCTATGAATAGCGAATCTTGATTGAGACTCTTTTATTGACCTGCCGTATCTCTCTTGTCTAGTGGCGTCTCCACCATGGTGGGAAAAAAGAAGGGGAAAATAGAAGGAAATCAAGCATTTTTGTTGTCGATGAAATAACATTGACCCCAGCTGTACTTGATCTCCCAACACGACGTGAATCAACCGGAAACTGTGAACTGGATGATTTTCCATTGCTCGGCTGGACCTCTTCAGAGCTCGGGTTGATTGCTCGATTCTCGGTTCCGAGAGTCTTGGGTCTAATTTGATTTTCTCTGACATGGGTTTCTTCCCTTGTCAGGCAGCGCTTAGTTCCTTGAAGTGGTGGAAACACGGAGAAGTATTAGAGAGCATACAGAAGAGGGCCCATCTCGAAAAACGAACCGTGAACTAATAGTTGAACGGGTATTGATCAGGCAACAATGGAACATCAGCGATGAACAACTACATTGATTTATCGAGCGGGTCAAAGTGATTTTACATCCTCTTGTACTAGCAATTTGAATCCATCAATCTTACACTTTCAATGGAACTGCATTTGGAATAGACAGCTCGAGCATTTGGCATACCAAGATCGAAGAGAGACGTTGACCCAAAATAAACTTCATGTTACTGCTACTATTTCTGTTGTTTTCCCTCCTTTTGCGCGGAGGGGGCCCCAACCTCTTCCACAAAAGTCCAGACACTTGTCGTCTCCGCCTTATGGGGGCGGGAAGTACCGAGCATCAACAGTGGCCATGGATCGATGACCAACAGCCAACACTTTGTTACACCAAAAAAGGGGGGAAAGGGGTGGAGGTAGGCGTAGGTCATCAGTGGTACAAGTCTACGTAATCAGGAGGGCAGTGTAGAACAAAAAGAAAGAACAAGATCCGCCATTCTAGGACATCAATTCGTCTTGTCATCTCATGTCGTGTCCTACTTTTGTGCAGCAGATTGATGCTCATGTTGGTTGGGCGGGAGGGTGGAAATGAGACCACCCCTACATGTATGGGCATGCAACGCTTATCCCCCCAATACCGGTTCGACCTTCATGTTGCTAATAAAAGACGGAGAAGAAGTGGGCAAAAATAATAACGATAATAATAACTACAAGAGGCGTAGAGGAGGGGAAAGGGAGAAAATAAAAATGAAGACTAAATTCAATAGATGGTTGATGCTATTGCAGTGGTTGGGTGAGAACTATGAAGTAGTGGATGGGGGAGTGTACAGCCAGCGAGACGCACATCGCACGGAAAAGAAGCATCCGTCCTCCAATGCCCAACTGCAAGTAAGATGTAAGACTGAATGATATTTGATACTGTCAAGATGGCGGCGCTATGAGGTGGTTCGTCGGGGGCCAAAAAATCTATAATTGAACACAGTTGGGGGCCTTTTTTTGTACTGAGGAACTCAGGTGACAGACATATCGTGGAGCTTCGGGTTGGATCTTGATCAATTGGAGGACGGCAATAACTGCATACTAAAACTGGGATATCAGGGGATCACTGGTGATACTGCATCGATTGGGGTCCCTTGAGGCGACCATTTTAGCAAACTTGGTGTGGGCGGTGCCATCAATGATTGTAATGATTGTCGATCAGCAAGTTCTTCGGTTCCGAACGAGACTAAAATCCCTTCCGGGCCAAGTGCATCGATGACTCCAGGAGTCTACCTTGTATATTTATTTCGTAAAGGGGAATAGATGCACGTGGGAAACGTGAAACACGAGGCAACAAAAGGCATCAACATGGCAGACAGGACCATTTGGGCGTGCTGATACGATCACTCCCAGCCTCATGGCTCTGGTGCTACCTGCGGACATGTGTGCGGCCGACTGAGCATGAAAATGACGGACACGTTGGCGACGAAGTACCTAGATTTGGTGGCCGTGATGCTCGCACATGACATTTACCTCTGCACCTTGTATCTTGGACCAAATAATCGACGAAAGGGTTTTAGTTTTCAATATCGTGGGAGCCTGCCCCCGAATTGATACTTTATCGATATCTGTGGTGGCCGGGAAAGAAATTGGGAGCAAAAGGTCCATTTCGGCCACCCTCATGCCTCTCCTAGAGTGCAAAAACTGCCGACGACAGCCAGTCGTGAGTTGTCAATCTCGCTGTCCACCCTTCCCGTGATGTGATGAATCAATGTTCTTACAGAAGCGCCGGCAAGGGTTACACAGGCGCTGGGCAAGAACACCATCCCCGGCTGGGGCGGAGCACCCACCAGATTGGGCGACGTCACATCCCATCACGACGCCAGACGGTCCGACCTAGGCAGCACCTTTCTGGCTGTGTGTCGAAGGGCTGTACCACACTGGCGGCAAATGCAAATCCTGTCAGGGCTTTGTCATGCATGTCTTCTGGGTCAGGCAGCCCGGAACATGCAATGAAAGTCTCAACTTAAATGGAAAGGATTGATGGGAGTTGGTTGCAGAGAGATGATCTTCTCCATAAGGCAGGACGAAGCACAGTACATGTTGTGCGCCCGACTGATCATGGTGGTGGTGGTGAGCATTAAGCTGGAGCTATGCAGCACCGCGGCGTCGATCAATGCTACATGCGCTACTATCAAGGAGCGCAGCGCCAACGTCCAACTGCCAACGAAGTGGCAGGCAGGACGAAGTACGAAGGAGGCCGAATCTGGCCAGACGAACAGGACCAGGAGGTGGAATTGATCAATTGTTGTGGGTATGTTTTCTGTACAAAAGATGGGGGGAGGGGTGGGGGTTGTGATTTGTGTGTTGTTTATACGGGGGTGTGCCTACAGCAGGGCCAGGATAATAGCAAGGTATTAGTGTACAAAGTGGGAGAGCCCAGCCAGGCGGGAGCACAGACGGATCACGTTCCAAAAGGTACCCTGGAAGTATAAGTGCCTCTCTGGGACTCGGGAGGTTTTCTGCCTCGCCCGATATAGCCCCTCTAATTTTTCCGACTCATCATTACGAAGGCCTGGCTTCCCATTTTGATTTGATGTGACATCCGCGAGCGGCTTCCATCTTGTGACATTGATGAGGGGACTGCATGTGATATTAATTACCAAGGGACGTTTGGAGAAACGCAAATCTCCACACAAACTCTCCTTCATACCGACAATCACAGCGAAGAGTGTGAATTGGGAATAGGGGCAGGGGTTCCTTCACGGGCGAGCGGGCGGGAAGCGTTTCAGAGGATGAGACCCTTGGATGACCAGCTCCAGCCAGCCAGCCAGGCGATGTCGGCGAGGGCTTGGAGATTTGTTATCCGCCCGTCTTCATGTGCTTCCAGAAGACCGCCAGCTTACGGACGTAGTGAGATTTGAAAAGTATTGCGGCATATTGGGGCACTGCCCGGAAGCATCGATTGATCAATGTTACATACATATCGACCACGTACTCGACCCGACGGACATTGGCAATATGACAGGACATTGGCAATATGACAGGACATTGGCTTGGATTAAAAAGTGGTCTCATGCATTTACAAATAATCCCTCGGTATACCGCGAATCGTACCGCTCGATCGAGGCCTGGACTGGACTCGAACCTCCCTCCCCATGACTTCTTGGGCTGCAATGATCAAATCTACGAAGTCAAAGACCTAATGCATTTGGAATGGTCGTCGTATCCACGACGATAAACACTTCAGCAGATTCGGTATCATCAATATATTCGCGGGCTCATCCTACAACATTGCACGTAACCGAACGCGGGTTACCACTTAACCTCACTCTTCTATCTTTACACCACCTGTATTTTTGGGTTACTTCGACGGACCATTACCGCGGAGCATCTGTGTCGATTATGTCGTACGGTGACTCGATGTTGTGTGACATTGATCCCGTCCTGGTAAAAAATATATCCGGAGACACCACAGACAAGGGACAAATTGGCCTGCCCAAGTTTTCCTCACTGCCAGGCAGCCTCTAGATCTTGGTTATCCATCTGTGACTACAGTTCGAAGACGCCTACTCCTTCCGATGATGGCTTTTACTTCGCAGATTGGTACCTCAGTAAACCCGTCCTATTCGAGGATCTAAGATCGTCCCCAGTGGGGATACATTGACCTCTTATTACCATGTATATTCGTATCATCTTGGGTAGAACCCGGCTATGGACATGAAAACTTGTAAAGCAAGGCTTTCATAGATCCTTTGCTGCCCGACGAATTATTCTACCTTGGGATTAATGATACCAGGATGATCGAGAGAAATGACTTTCTGGTCATCAAGATCATGGGTTCGGGAGGAGCCCCGGATGGTCCTTTACAAACAGAGACGCCCACCATGGCGCTGCAGCCTAGCATTTGGGAATTGTGAGCTATCATTGATATTAGCCCAGTCACGGATGTTCAGTCGCTCTAGCATTGGCTATACATTCCATTCTAGCAATCTAGCATGCAGGGGACGCCGCAATTCCACATCGATGCGTTCATGGTGTTCGTGTTGCTGATGGTGTTCTAATCTTAGAACCGAGTCACGGCTTTGTCATTTCTAACCCTCCACTACGAAGTACAAC